GCGGGGAGGGGTGTTAGGCAGGAGTGTCACCAAGAATCGGAATCATCTTGAAGCAAGTGGGTACTAATTTTTTTTTTGTCCTCCGGTGCAATGAATAAAACTCAATCCTGGCTCTCACCGTGATTACACTCTTAAATGGACACTTTACATGTAGCTTTCTTGCTCCCCACAATAACCTCAGGAGGTAATGATGACAGTAACAGTAGATAACTCTTAACAATGCTTATCTCTGCTAAGCACTGCCTATGAAACTCAATTATTACGACAACCTTATGAGCTAGGGGCAATGTTTTCACCATTTTACAAGTGAGAAAATTGAAGCGCTAGGAGGTAAGTGACTTGCTCAAGTTTCGAACCCAGAGAGTGCGGCCTTAATTCCCAGGCTACTAACAATACCTTTCGTTTGTTTTTTTCATATTACACAACTTTTAAGCGCTAAATCCTGTCTCACTCCCAAGCCCAGGGTTCTGCGGGGATACCCCAGAGGTCTTGAAGTGGAATGCCTGAGAATGAACGCCTTGGAATTTTTGCAACACTTCCCTCTTCCAAAGAATTCAAACTGATTATCATATGATTCTTAAAGATGTATGATGTGAACCTTCTTGTCCAGTAAATTCCCCCACTAGGCGAGAGAGAAGCCAAGGAGGCCCCGGGTCCTTTTGACAGTGGCCGGGGCACCCAGCAGATGGCGCCACCATAGCAGCCACCAGCTGACTGCTCCGTCCCCAGGGCTCGCCGTCTCCGCGGAAAGCTTCCCGGCCCTCCCTCACTCCCTTCTCTCTCCCCCTCCCCACGGAACCCGCGCCCACGTGACCTCGAGGCGGCCAATAGGCGAGCAGAGAGGGCGAGCTGGTCCCTGTGGCCGCCATTAAAGCGAAGGGAAAACCCGTGAATTCGGATTAAAGGGGGAAAAACACCGCCCGCTGGGCCTACAAAATGGGGGAGACTACGGCGTCCAGGCGGTGAGGCCGCAGGAGAGCAGACGTTAGGTCAGCTCGGCCCAGGGACGACCCAGACAGCCAGAGAATGGTGTGAGCTCGCAGACGCCGCCACCACCTCCGCCACTGAGGAAATTCTGGGCTTAAGGACATCGCTGCTGCCGGGCCGGGGGCCTGGGCTTGTCTCCCCGTCCCTGCCCTTCCCGCCCCTCCACGGCCGCCTCCCGCCTGAGAGAACCCTCCGGGGGTTCGGGCTCTGCCGCCTCAGACCCCATTTTAATTATTTATTTTGTAATTTATTATTTTTCTGGTGGAAGGGACCCAACACCGCCCAGAGGGGCGAG